AGTAAAACTTTGTTGATAACTAATGACTCACCTAAGAACATGTTAGAGGGTTATACCAACGAACACGAAAATCAAGAAAATATGATTGATAAGGTTTTGGCGTTTGTGCTTTGCTAACCACGAGAAGCGTTAGTCCAATGGATAGAACGCTGTTCATTTGATGCCGAGTTATCTGCGTTCAAGTGCCTGATTATGACGCGGAACAATGGTAGCCGCGAGGAAACTGTCACACCAATGCCGCGTTATCTTTGCAGGATAGCCATCTGTTTGTGACATTACGTCGTTGACTAGACGTAGGCCCCGTGACCCTGAATGTTTGCTTAGGACATTGAGGTTTTATGTTAGATCCCCTTCTCTCCCATTTATCATTCCTCGTTCCCTAGGTTGTTGTGGTTGTACAGTAACGTAGCATTAGTTCACATGGCTGATATACTTCTGTTTATGATAATTATGTTGTTCCTTTTGTCACCGCACTATGCCATGCGGTAGGGGTAAGGGATATCAACTGCACGCCATTGCTCCATGTGAATGCTTCGTTGCCGTGCAACTGTAAGTAGCTTTTCCTCCAACTGAGACACAATCGGGGCACCCTAATCCATGCGACAGCGAACAATCAAGCCTGTGGCCTAGAAGCCACAAATCGAGTTATAGAATAAATTCTGGCTACCTGATGTCACCGCTGGGGATTTTCGCTATTCGCCTTGCTACTGCGCTCACGGTCTCGGTACATTGTATAGCGCCGCTTGTTGAAACCACTTGGTTTTGAAATATTTTTCATTGGTTTTTGCCCGAGCCGTTTGCCCATTTTATTTCTCTCCGGAGCCTTATCCACCATTCTTTTATGTTTTTTAGCTTGTAACCGATTTAACTGAAACCCACAGATGAAGCTGCGCTTGTTTCAATATTTTTCAAACCGAATTTCACGTGCTTCCATTTTGTGGCTCTGGTACTACAAATTGTGCTCACGTTGTGTTCCTATTGAGCCATCGCAATGAGTCTGGACCTTACCGTTGTGCGCTGGTTTGTGTGCCTCAGTGATCCATTGAGCTATTCTGGGTTGTACATTTTTCACCTTCAGAGCCACTCATACCAGCTTGGTCAATTGTTAAAGGCCAGACAAACTCAGCCTCCTGGTCCTCCAGGTTGCGGGAGGGGGTTGGAATGAGGTGGCTCCTTATTCCTTATGACGGACTCCTTGTAACCCAATGTCAAACCCGCTGCCTTGCGGTCAGGTTTTTGAATCAAAGGTTTTGGTTGAGAACCCTAACCGTTCTCCTGTCGAGGCCTGCGCAACCTGAGAGTATCCTGCACCCGCAATACAATGAATCTTTCGTCAAACAAATTCCTGTTGCTCTGGCCACTGCAGAGGCTAATCAACGGTGCCCTATCTGCTGCATCGAGCAGGGTGGATAGGGGTTTGCATATTACTGCTCAAGCCTTCCCATCTTATTATTCCCCCTCTTCCGCGTTGTTTCTCTTTCCGTCCGGTTCCAGCTTCACTTTTATCCCCTCTGTTGTCAGCGCCCCAATTCTTGGCCCTCCCCCCACCTTGCTTTGCTAGGGTTTTACCTTCTGGTTTCAACTCACTTGTGAACCCGGAGCGTCATCCCTGTCCTGTCGATAAGCCCATGTCCAACCAAGCGGCCAAGCCCAATTCATCCACTTCCATTTGGAGCCCTCAGTCCTCCTTCAGATTGGCATGCCTCACTCCACGCACATTGCTACAGATCGGTTAACAGGCAGCACTTGCCCGAACATTAGAGACCCTATGGATCGATATCTGCCGCTTATCGCAGACCCGCCTGCGAGACTCGAGCTCTGTGCGCACTCTGCGATCCCCTTCTGGTGACGCAAACAGTATTTTCTCACTGCGCCTATCCGGTGACGAAGCAGCTTCGAGCACCGGTCAATCCGGTGGTCGCATTGCCCTGAGTCCCCGAGCTGAAGCTGCTCTGGTTGACTGGATTCCAATCTGTAGCCGGATGTGTGTGGTCCGATTGGCTGGCTCGTTGAAAGCTTCGAATTCGCGCGGGACTAACAGGCGTCTATTCGTCATCACTGCCTATGCATCCACAAACTCTAGCGATTATTCGGTGAAAGACGACTTCTATCGCCAATTGAACGAGCTCCTTCGCCACAGAAGAAGCTCGGACGCTGTTGTGCTGGCTGGGGATCTGAACACTCAAGTTAGAAAGTTGTCCACTGTTGAACTGCATCTGGGTGATCAGAACGGTGTAGGCTCCCGTAATGAAAACGGTGAGCGGTTACTTCATTTGTGTGAAGATGTCCGCTTATTTCTTGCGAGCACTAATTTCCGACACAGCACCCGCCGGAGGGTGACTTGGCGCCCACCAGCCTCGAACCAGCTATGGACGCAGATCGATCACATTGCTATTAGTTACCGCTGGAGAGGCTGCATCCAGAATTGTCGCTCGATTTGGAGCACATGTGTGGACACCGACCATGCACTTGTATATGCTGACGTGGATGCGTTTTGGCGGGCGCCCACAACGACGTTGTGAGCGCACTAACACCAGCCAACTGGCGAAATCAGCTGTTCTGAATGTTTATCAAAGTACGCTGTCATGCGAGTTGAGTAAGAGCTCACTGGATGCATTTGAAGCTCACTGGTCTTATATTCACCAGAACTTACTAGCAGCAGGCAAATCCTCATGAGCTAAGCCTACTCGCCAACATGGATATTAGGTCTCTTTGCAGTCTCTGGAACTTATAGATGCTCGCCAGCATATTCCGGCTGGAAGCGAACGCAATGAAACTCGCAAAGAGCTCCGGGCAGGACTCCATGCTTGCCTGAAGAGAGACCGCTAATCCTGGTGGTCTCTTCGTGCATTAGAGAGGGAAATGGCGGCTGCCCTTGTTAACCATCGTAAGTTATTCCGTCTGATACGGGAAACGGGCAGCAGTAGACCTGGGGTTAATGAAACTGCACGTGACGAGAGTGGACAGGCTATCCCCAATATGTCAACACGTTTGGAGCTTTGGGCTGAGCATTTTGCATGGCAATTTAATCGGTCGGGATTATTTGTTTTCTCGCCGGCCACTGATCGCCTTGCTCCGTGGGCTGTCCCTTTGTATCCACCCTCTCGCTCAGAAGTAGAACGTGAGATCGGACTGTTAAAGTTGAGCAAAGCCGCGGGACCAGATGATCTACCTTCCGTCCTCTTCAAATTCGAGGGACCTGCTCTTGTGGATGATTTATTCGAGTTACTAGTGAAACTGTGGGAGCAGGAAACTATCCCAACCGACTGGAGCCGCTCCATCAGGGTTCCAATTTTCAAGTGAGGCTCACGATCAAAATGCGGCAACCATAGGGAATCAGTCTGATCTCCATCGCCTCCAAATTGCTTGCCTCTGTCATCCTTCACAGACTGACTGCCACTTGTGCAAGCCATATTCGTGAAGAGCAAGCCGGGCTTCGTCGAGGTCGTGGCTGCATTGACCACATCTTCACTTTGCGTCGGTTGTTGGAGCACCCTCACATATATTTTCGGCCCACCGTAGTCGTGTCCGTCGATATCAAAGGTGCATTCGATTCGGTTGATTAATGTGCCTTTTGGGACTGTCTACTCATGATAGGTGTACCTGAGAAATATGCAAATATTACCCCATCATTATACACGCGTAGCTCAGGCAATGTGAGATCTTACGTCAAGCTGTCGCCGCCCTTCCATATCTCCAGCGGTGTGAGACAAGGATGCCCGCTGTAGCCTTTCCTCTTCAACTTCGCCGTTGACGAAGTCTTGGAGATTGCACTTACAGGACGCGACTTAGAAGGTGTGGAGCTACTTCCAGTAGAACGACTTCTTGACTTGTAGTATGCTGACGATATTGCCCTCATCTGTGACAGTTCCCAGACGTGTCAAGCTGCACTGGACAGATTAGCACTGGCTGTCAGCCGCTTCAGGGCTTTGCTTTGCACCATCGAAGTGCAAAGCGTTCCTCCAAGATTGGCATGGACCGCCTCCTTCGCTGACCCTTGGTGGGGATCAGTAAGAAGTCGTTCAGAAGTTCAACTACCCGCGAAGTTGTATCAGCGTTCGTGGGATTGAAGATGAGGTTACGAACCGTATAGCAAAAGCTCGAATTGCTTTTGCTAATCTTCTTCACTTATGGCGCCGGGGCAACATCACTCTCGCCCTGAAGGGTAGAGTATACAATGCAGCGGTTCGTTCGACCCCACTGCTCGGTTGTGAAACCTGGCCCCTTAGATCAGCGGACATAAGGAGGCTAGTTACGTTCGACCATCGGTGCGTTCGCAATTTAGCTCACATCTGGTGGGAACACTGCGTGAGCAACGAGCGTGTTCGACGCCTTGTTTCCGGCACAGGAAAAGCAAATTATTCGCTCAGCACCGTTATTTCACGCACCAGGCCTCGATAGTTCGGCCACGTGTTGCGCATGCCAGCCCACCGACCCCCGCGACGTGCGTTGTTTGCGCGCCGGGAGTGTGGATGGAAGAAGAGGAGGGGTGGCCAAGCGATGACTTGGTCGAGAGGAATGAAGGCCCTCACTTCGGAGCTGGCCTCGCTTGGAGCGTCTCGACTGCCTGGTTGGGGTCCGAAAGACGATGAACACGTTTGGTTGGATACACTTGCTGATATGGCTAGGAGCCGACCTCAGTGGCGTTCCTGCTGTGAGTTTCTTTGTCCCACCCCATCCCTCTTAGCTTCCCCTTCCAATCACGATCTCATTGTTTAACATTTTGTAATTTGGCATAGTAAATTACTTTTTTTCTGCATAGCAGCCTGCAGATAGCTTACCGGAACGATGTCCGTCCGTTCCGGTAGCTCAACTGGCTTGCACCCGTAGCATTTTATTCCCTTCGTTTCCTTTACGTATTGCTCCGCAGTAGCTGAGGTGTTTCCCACCTCTAGCTAATGTGTGTAGTGTGTGTGTTCCGATTGAGGCCTCATTATTCACATCACAATCTTTCTTTCCGTGCAGTGTTTTATGCGCGCCCCCTCTCCTTTTCCCCACAGGACATCGATACGCATCGTCGCTTGTGTGCCTGCTCGAAAATGCCCGCCAAGACGCGTTGCGTCCACTGTCGTTTAGTGGAGGCTACCGAAGCTGCCCTATCCAAGTGGGGTGCTTCCATGACTGATCGCGCCAGGTTGGAATGGTCAGTTCTGGACAACACGCTCGCCAGCTTGGCCCGAACTCCTTGTTCACTCAACGATATCGCTAGAGGTAAGTCGCGCACCATCCCTATTGTCTCTGGATGTGCTGTCGTTGCGTGTTACGTGTCAATGCACGTGTGCGCATGCCGTATGCCTCTTGCCAGCTCAATAAGTACACCGGAGCGCGCTCGTTCCCGAATGAGTTTGTTTCGTTCTCTCTGATGCTTGGTAGAATAACTCCGAGTCACATCCGCGGACACCTCTCCTGTTGTCTTTGTGTATATCATTGCTTCATTGATCGTCACTAAAAAAGATAAACGATATCAGCAGTTTGGCTGTACATGGAACGACCTTTTTATGCCACAAGATACTGTGATGTCTCCTCGATCGGTCTACGCAGGCTGAAACCAGCGACCCGCGGATGGCATACCTGATGCCTGACCCACTTAGTCACCGGCAAAAAAATTATTGCACTAGTGTGTCTCAGCTCTTCTGTCGAATTGTCACATGTCTACCGATTTTAACATGTGTGAACGGAAGTCGCTGCTTGTTATAACGTTAGAATGCGGATCCACCAAACGGAGAGCACTCGCGACTCTTATACAACTAAAGCTATGCTCCCACCCAGGTCACCTGCAGATGTACGACATGTTACTTTTCTGCCTCCCTTTTCTAACCCATTGGAACTGCTCGCACCTCTTATTTGTTCTTTAGTTCATGAGGAGGTCCTGTCACAAACCTATGCCGACTCCACTGTTTTACCGGTGGAATCACCCAAAAGCAATGTCAATCGTTCTCGACGGGCGTCAAATATGGACTTAACGGACGAGAGGTCTCCCCTCAGTGGTTCATTCAAGCGCAGAGCAATCGACCAACAATCATGGGTAAATCTTGATTGTGTTTCCCTAGTTGTTGTAACACATCGAGTCTTTAAAATGTTTTGGAAAACTGGTAGCTCGGGTTGATGATTCCGTTGCTCATTCGTTCGCTGAGCTGGGAAATTTGTTTGCAAACATTTCACCAGCATGCGCGGTGGCATCATTAGTGCGCTGAGATGTAGAGTGGAATCTACCTGATTCAATTGCCAATCCGTGATCGGCGTTCAGGTGACATTTCGAAACTGACGACTTCCATCTGCGCCTTGTGATCTCTACCCATTTTCCCCACGGCGGAAGTGGTTGCTCGAGTTGTTCCTATTCAAACGGCGTCTTGCAATTCATCAAAGTTTTTTCCGTCGAAGGGGCTGGTAAACCGGGTTGAGGTCGATATCCATGTTCTTAATGTACTTTGTTGAGAACCACGCTTCCAGGAGCCCTTTTTCTTTTCTTTTTCGCCTCGTGCCAGGACTTCTATTTTGACCCAATCAAAGCACTTGGTTTGTGTGCTACGATGTGGTGGTGCTGTTTGAATAGTCTTGCCGCCATTTCGGATATGTTCTTCATATAAGGCAAGACAATGCGTCTCTCCTTCCTTGGTGTATACTGTTTGTTGGCGTTGTTATGGTTCAGACACCGTGGGATGAAGCTTCGTGGGTACATTTTGAGTTGGAAACATTTAAATAGATGCCTCGCTTCTTGTCGCTTTACCTCTGCCGTACTGCAGTGTGTGTGCACTCTACCAAAGTGTCAGAACACAGTTTACTTTCGGGTGGTTACTGTTAAAATTCGGAATTCTCTCCGTATGTGTGCCTTTTCTGTAAACTGATGTTTGCAGCCTCCCTTCCATGGTTCTGGTTACTAATACGTCCAAGAAAGACACTTGGTTTTCATTCTCCATTTCAATCTTGAATCGGATGTCTTCATTGACGTTGTTCAGCAGTTGCTGTGAGGCTGCAACTTGAGTGCGTTTGATGATCACAAAAGTGTCGTCGACATATCGGACCCACAGTTTCCGATTAATGAGTGGGAGTACACCACCTTTCAATTTCTGCATTACCATCTCCGCGACGAGTCATAATATAGGTGATCCCATTGGCGTGCGTTTCAATTGTTCGTAGAGCTTCCCGTTGAAAGAAAGGGATGGTGAAATTGCGGAACAACATTGCCGCCACTGATGTCTGTTGCGGGCCATGACGTTCAATGTTTCCAACCACTGCAATTCAGCATCTCGTGGTCCCCAACCTGGAAGGCGGACTGGTCCGATTGCTGCCAAACTTGAGGTCGCCTTCTTCATACTCCTTCTCCACGTCATCGGCTGTCCACCGCGGCACTTTTTCTAATCGCTCCCTGGGAGTGCAAATAGCGCTCGACGTGGAAGGCGATGGGCTGGCATGCGCAGAACATGCCCGAGCCAGCGCATGCGATGTCGGAGAATAACATCTTGAAGACTGACACTATTCGCCCCAAGCACGCGGTCTCACCTCTGCGTTGCTTACGTGGTGTTGCCACCACACCCTAGCAATCCTTCGTAGACAGCGATTATCAAAGACTGATAGCCGCTTCATATCTTCCGAGCGAATAGGCCAAGTCTCACAGCCGTACAAGAGTACTGCACGGACGGAAGCATTGTACACCCTGCCCTTGAGCTTGAGGCTGACGTCACGACGACGCCATAGATGTCTCAGTTTGATGAATGCAAGGCGGGCCTTTGCAATCCGTTGTGAGACTTCATCTCCAACACCGCCACCAGCCGTGATGCAACTCCCTAGGTAAGTGAAGCAAGGGACTTGCTCCAGAACATGTCCAGCAATGGTGAGCGCGGGTTCAGGCACCTGCCAATCCTGGAGCAGCGTTTTACATTTTCCCGGAGTGAAGCACAGGCCGTACTTAGACGCCTCCATCGCCAAGCGGTCCAGAGCGTTCTGGACGGATTGTGGGTCGTCCCCCAGCAAGGCGATATCATCGGCATAGTCCAAGTCCGTGAGTCTGTCTCCAGGGAGAAGCTCAACACCGCAGTCCTGGACACCTTCCAGTGCTCTTTGGAGAACATCTTCGATGGCGAAATTGAAGAGGAAAGGTGAAATAGGGCAACCTTGGCGAACACCGCTGGTCACAGCGAATGAAGAGGAGTGCGTGCCGTAAGCCCTAACTTTGCCCGACGTGTGACTGTAAAGGACTTTCAGGATGGTTACAAACTTGTCGGGCACACCTTTCTTCAGTAAACAGTTCCACAACGCAGACCTATCTACTGAATCAAATGCCGCTCGGATGTCCAAAAACACTACGATTGTTGGCCGCCGGTGGATGTGACGAAGTTCGAGAACTTGCCGAAGCGTGAAGATTTGGTCGATGCAGCCACGGCCTGGACGAAATCCAGCTTGTTCTTCTCAGGAAAACTCCTCTCTAGTCGTTGAAAGCCTGCCAAGTAGGACCGACACGAAGATTTTGGATGCGACAGAGATTAGGGAGATTCCGCGGTAGTTGCAGCAATCGTCGCGGGAACCCTTCTTGTGAATTGGGACAATGACCGATTCTCCCCATGAGCTCGGAACCTTCTCCTCAGTCCAAACTTTCGTGAACAGCGATAGGATTTCGCTGATAAGTACACTCCCACCATCTTTGAATAGAGCTGGTGGTAGGTTGTCGGGACCCGAAGCTTTGTGGCGTTTCAAAGATTGGACTACATTTCGAATCTCTGCTTCATTTGGGGGGGGGGGGGGGGGGGGCTGTGGAGACAGGCCAAGCATCATACATTGGGGCTGGAGGTGTCGCAGGGGACTGTGTTGGGTGGTTGAATTGAAGAGCGAAATGCTCTGACCAGCGACCCAATCGTCTGCGAAAGAGAGAGGTAGTTGACAGACACAATTGGAGTAGCTTGCTTACATTTCCGGTCGTCCTGTTCGTGATTCTTTGTTCACTGCTGTTCAGGCGTTCCGTGATGACTGTTGTTGTCGTTTGTAACTTCGCAGACTTAAAGAGGGCAGTCACGTCGAAAGATATCATCGCCTCATCATCATCTATTCGCAGGTCTTTGAGCTTTTGTAGAAATTGCTGAGCATTATTTATGGCATATTGCGATCTACAGATCAGATGTTTGAGGCATCTCCATCATTTTTTCGCCAAGTTGTAGGTGAGTGTTCCTGGTAGTGACACGATCGGCCGTAACGATACACCTTTGGGCACTCATAGAATTTCGCCATACTCGAGTCGCGCGCTCTCATTCACTCGCACTCCTCTTTCTTCATTTGCTTCATTTCCTGAAGTTGTCTCAATGTTCGGTTTATTTTATTTGTCAGCTGCGAGGTTGGATCGCTCTCAGTGCACTTGTAGGTCGTTGTGTCGTTCAAGGAACCTAAAGCTTTATTAGTGTAATCCACTCCATCCACCGTTACGGCTGATCGTGTCACTACGATAGAAGGGAGGCTGCAAACATCAGTTTACAGAAAAGGCACACATACGGAGAGAATTCCGAATTTTAACAGTAACCACCCGAAAGTAAACTGTGTTCTGACACTTTGGTAGAGTGCACACACACTGCAGTACGGCAGAGGCAAAGCGACAAGAAGCGAAGCATCTATTTAAATGTTTCCAACTCAAGTGGTACCCACGAAGCTTCATCCCACGGTGTCTGAACCACAACAACGCCAACAAACAGTATACACCAAGGAAGGAGAGACGCATTGTCTTGCCTTATATGAAGAACATATCCGAAATGGCGGCAAGACTATTCAAACAGCACCACCACATCGTAGCACACAAACCAACTGCCATGTTGAGGAAAACTGTCAAAACCAACAGTAAACCTGGAAGCTCATGGGTGACTTAATATTGTATGTAGAATACGTAGAAATTGCAGAATGGACTATGTAGGTAGAAAATTTGCAACACGAATACAAGAGCACAAAGTGCGTGCAAAAGGCACTATACATCGTCGCTAGTCTCAGCGCACGTGGACGAAAAAGATCAGCTTCGATTGGACCAAAACGGAAGTCCTTGTACAAAGCGAAAAAGAAGGAAGAAGGAGTTCCTGGAAGCTTGGTTCTCAACAAAGGACTTTACGAACATGCATAAGGATCTCAACCCGGTTTACCAGCCTCTTCGACGGAAAGAACTTAGATGAATTACAAGACGCCGTTTGAATAGGAACAACTCGAGAACCACTTCCACCGTGGGGTAAATGGGTAGAAATCACAGGGCGCAGATGGAAGTCGTCAGTTTCGAAATGTCACCTGTATGCCGATCACTGATTGACAATTGAATCAGCTAGATTCCAATCTACATCTCTGCGCACTGATGATGCCCCCGCGCATGGTGGTAAAATGTTTGCAAACAAATTTCCCAGCTCAGTGAACGAATGGGCAACTGCACATTAGGCCTTGTTTTCTCTGTCTCAATACCTGAGGGGAATATCAAACCGTCGGGATCAGACGCTTTCTCGGAAAACCCGACGCAAATGTCTATGAAATCATTTCGGCCTTGTTCGCTTCGTCGGTGCGGTGTGGCTTAACTTCTTGCTATATGTTTTGTTTTCCCATACGGCTTTATTCCACACTGATGCGTTCAAAGCGTAGATGTCAAGCAACCTCATGTTAGAATACTCTGGAACTTGGTCAGGTGTTTTTGATATTTTGCTCTAATCACATGGGTTCAGCCGGTCTGTAGCCTTAAGGATCACAATCCTGCCTTCTCGTCCGAGAGTGCGGATTCGATCCTGTGTAGTGGCGGAGCAACCCTCGCGGTGTCCTTAGCCCACGTGCAATTGGTGGTGGTCGTGTGACGGCGAAGTGTCGGTATTGCGTACCGGCGTACTGCTGATGATTTATATATGGGAAGTACCGCAAGTGCACAGTGGTCGTTCACCGGTTCGCTACATCCCTCATGCCTCACGCTCTACTTTTAGCGTCTTTGGTTAGCCGTAATCACACGCTTTGTAGCACTGGGGAGGTGCGTTCAAACTGGCGACAGTCAAATGTCGTTCCCATCTTCAGGAATAATCGGCGTACTTT